TGGGATGAAAAGGGAACTTAAAATTAGGTACCGTCATTAATTATGAGTTTTGATATTTCTTTTGCAATTATAAACATCATATCATAAACCAATACATTCAAGCATACCCACATGTATATACCCCACATGTATACACATATATAAAACATTATGCATCTAAATTCATTACATTCCTGTAGGTGATAGAGTTTACAATGTGGAAACATGTTCAACCAGCTGGTTGTGGAAAAACCTACCCAACCTAGCCCTGCAATTAGCAAGCCACAACCTTCTTATTGTTCCATGTGAAAGGTTTACTATTATATCCTAAGTCCATCAAACCCAGATAGCTTATTGCTTCACAAACTAAATGGGAATTGCCTTTCTGAGTCCATGTAGGTATATTGCATTCATAATCTAATGTTAAAGTCACCCATAAAAAGTCAAGTTGGACTGTATTTCCCAATTGAAGCAATTTAGCAATGATGGTTTTCTTATGGCAGCCAGTTGGTGGGCGATAAATTCCTATAATTCCCAGTTAGGCTTCCCAGCTTCATCGAAGGTCTAAACATACAGACTATTGCCAACAGCAAAAACAAATTCCAAACTTATCTCATTGCTCCAAGCAATACAAAGTTCTCCTTTATGACCCAGCAGATCTTGAGTTACAAAATTTGGATAATGAAGCTTCTTCAAAATGTTTTCCACTCTTTCCTTCTGCACCTTTATTTCTGAAAGAAAAAAAGAAAAGAGAGTTATACTTATTTACAAGAGCCTTTAAACCAAGAACTGCAGAGGATCAGCCTAATCCTCTATAGTTTATGGCAAGAGAATTCATGGCACCAGAGGAGTTATTTGGGGTGCCTCCATTGCCTCTTTTGGATTTTTAGGAGAAACTGGTTGTCGTTCTACTTCTATTCCCCTGGCCCTACCAAGTAGTCTTGTTTTTTGCTTGAGAGAGATTCTTTGAGAAGGCTCTATTGAAAAGGCTTAAGTAGATAGGCTAGCATGCTCAATTAAAGACAAATAAGCAAATCTGGTGGAAATGTAATCCACGGCCCCAATATTTTCTTCATAATTTCCTGAGCTTCATAATTATTGTTGGGCTAGCTGCTGTACTAACTTGGTTCTGGCTTTAGTGTGCTTCAGTGCTTAAATGTTCAGTGGGGTCCTTAGATTTTTCCTGTTCAGAATTAGTGGGATTTTTTGGATAGGTTGACAAGAGGATCTCCACTATTAAATGCTAATGGATCTAGATCCAGATTGTCTCCTTTGACCACATCTATTATTGCCTCGCTCCCTCCACCTTTATTAATATTTTCTTCATGCTTATTTAATACTCGCTACGTGTACTTATCACTAGCCTGCACCGATCATAATACAAAATCTTCTTTTGCATAAATGAACATTCTTTTGTACTGAGCAACGGGAACACTAATGAAATCAATCTGACTGTCAATATCTGCAATTTTCTCAGCATCTTAATTCTTACTTAATCTGGTTCTCATTTTTCCAAGGGTCAGCACTATTTGAAACTGCATCAGCTTGTAACTAAGGTCCGTAAGATTTAAGCCAAAGGCCCGATGGAGATTGGACAATAGAGGGTTTCTCTTGTCTACTATCTTTCCTTTCATGATCAAGCATCCACATAGGTAATGGGAGTAATTCATATTGAAATTGAACCCAATGCTGGGAGTTGTGAGGTTTGATAAAAAGGGACCAGGAGATAGGGGTTTGGATATGTCGATTGACATTTTTAACACATATATAGTTAACCCATGTACCCTCTTTTCCTAAAAAGTTGACATCCATTACTGGCCCTATTTTCATGGCTATTGCTAGTGCATTCAGTATGTTAAACAGACCCAGTAGTAGGCTTGATATGCAAACACAAAAGCTGGTTTCATTGAACTTTATTTCTTCTAAAGATAGATCAGGGTTATAATCTTTTAAAATAATAAGTGCTCTTTTTATATTCCATGCACCATGGCTACAAATCCTCTTTTTATCTGTCTCTTGCTCAAAGAAGCAATGAAAGAATTCCTTCCCAGCGGCCTGAAGGAAACACCTTTGTGTGTCTTCCAAATGCTACTTAACACCTATTGTATGGTTTTAAAAGGAAAAAATTTAGTAAGAAGGATCTTCCCTATCATTGATAGCTCCTAGATGTTATTGTTGACTTGCTTTAATAGCAACAAAGGTTCATCATTGTTTAACTGAGTTGTTTTAGTGGCTAGAAGCTCCAGCTGTTCATTTAAATGTAACATTATAATTTTTTAATCCAACATTATTCAACTGCTCCAGACAATTTACTCCGAGCCGTAGAGCCACAATTAGAAGTTCTATCCTTGTCCTCTTTTGAACCAGGTTAAACGACTTCATAATGATTTCTAGATAACAAATATTAGTAATCAATAGATTACCTATAAGAGATTCACAGAGGGCAAAGTGAGGATAGACAAACACCTTTTTAGAAGGGGAAGAAGACTCATGATGTAGGAAGAGACTTCATAAAGAGAAGAGAGAACCTTTAGTGAGAGGATTCAAAGAAAACCATGTGAATGCCATTGTTAGATGCAAAGTTTGAGGACTATAGATTATGAAAATCACTTCAACCATCATATTCAAGATTTTTATTTGACATTGAATTAAATGAGAATACAGTCATAATTTAACAAAACTCTCGTAGACTTGAGACTTTCATTTTAATGGAAATACCCACATATCATGAATTGATTCTTCTAAAAAAGAATATAATATCTAGATCTAGGAAAAAAAAAAGATAGGAGATATTCATATGTAACTGCGTATTATTTCAAAAGGATCTGTTACATTGACATAAGATGCTAAAAAGGATTATCTAATATTTTTTCCTAATTCACAAGCAAAACAAGAAGAAATTTTTTAAAGAGATCCTAGAGGAAGAGATGTTGGTAGCATCTTGATTTTTGCTAGAGTTGAGAAGCCATAACAGTATGGTTCCATAAATTTTACAAAAAAGACAATATAAAGTAAGTAGAGCTAACATAAAAACTTCATAGAACTAGATTGAGTGAGTTCGGATTGAAAGAAATGTATTACTTAGGTAATTACATTGAAGGAGTGGAGTTCGAACTATTGGATCCTTAACATAAAATCATATGAAGTAAGCTCAATGTAGCAATTATTATCCTATGTGAAGTTCTAATAGAAACTAAATTTGCCTTCATAGAAGGAATAAAGAAAAAGAATGTTACTTAAATAAAAGGCCTTAGAGAATGAGGAGATGGGAAAAAGCCATGAGTAGACCCATCACCTAACATGAGTTTCCAAGAACCATGATAAGGAAAAGGAGAAAGAAGACTTGATTTTGCACTCATAAGAGACATAATATTTGTTTGAGGAAAGCATAAGTTGTCTAGTTGATCATGAAGATTAAATGGTGAAAGAGTGTTGGTTGTTGTCTATTGAAGGAGATAACCTAGATGCTATGCAGCAAGAGAGCAAAGAACACCTTTGAGCAATATGATGAAATTGAAGACAAAGTTGGCTTTGGAAAGATGAAAGGACCATTGAAGTAATAGGTGCAGGACCAAGCAAATCCCTCGAGTATTGAGATATTTATTGTTGGTTATACTTTTTACTGCTAACTTTACCATGTGTTCATAGAATTAACAGTAATGTCATCCATTTTTTTTGTTGTAGAACTCATATTTGAGACAGATAGTCAAGAATGTGCTTGATCATGACAAAGTTCAATCTCTTGTGATACCTAATGTCTTTGTCTAAAGTTTATGACAACCCAAGAGTGAGATAAATTGAGTTTTTATAAAATTCTAAAGTCTTAGAAGTATTTTCTATATTTTTCCTTTTAATAGCTAATCGGCCTAAGACGTAAGTGTATTATTGTATAAAAATCTTTGCCAATTAATCCATGGAATATGTTCTAAAGATAGTTGTAGAAGGTTTTTTGTAAATCAAATATGACATTTAAAAGAGTAGAAATCATGTTATTTAAGAGTTCATGATTTTTTTGCGGGATGATCTTATAGACAACACTTACTCTAAAAAGCCATCTATTTTAAATCTGTATAATCTTTTATTTAATTTGAGAAAATTATATTTTCTATCAAATATAATTTTAATAGAAGTTGTAAGACCGACGTAAATAATGATATGATTTTGTTAAAATTATAATTTTTTGACATAGTAAATATTAATAAATATAGTTTGACTTTCAAGACTGTGTTATTGTTGAAGTTATATAAGATAGAGCACATGTTCAATTACATTTAACATTAAGGTATCATATCATTTCCATGTATTTTGAGAGGTATTATGCTAAATTGCCTTTCATGACACTGAAACTATTTAAAGCAATATTCTGTGTGTTTAGAAAAATGATTCGTAGAATCTTATTTGCTGAGACATTGAAAATAGTTTTAAAAAAATTTTAAAAACATATTTTAATTTTAAGATATAGATAAGGAAATTTTAAAGCCAATTTTTCTTTCAAAAAATAAATTTTTAAGAAAAACACATAATTTAGATGCATTTTTATGAGTTAAAAATCGAATGGAATTCTCTTTAACCGTTAACAATGAGATACCTAATTTATATAGAAGATGAACAGATCATGTAGGAGATTTGCACCCGATCTTCAATGTGTTTCTTTTCTCTTTGATGCACTTGCTAGCTTAAAGACTTAATTGGCATTATTAGAACAAAATAAGTTTGTCATTCATCAAAATCGATAGTACTATGCATTTTGTTCATCATTCTCTCCAGTTTTTGGTGCATGACAAAACCTTATTTTTTTGAAGGTGTATATTATGTAAGAAGCACTTTATATAATTTCAAGAAATCTCTCCCTTACTGAGTCTCCTTCTTAGTAAATGCTTCTTATTATTTCTCTTTTAAAGTGCAAGTAACCGACATTTTATCCATCATCTGTATAAGTATCTCAAAAAAAGCTTCAAGGCAATTTTTTTAGCAAGGAGATACTACATAGATATTAAGCAACCAATGTATCATTACCTTTTCTGTAATACTTTACCAATATTTCTTACCAGAGCAAGAGTTCTTCTTTAATACTTTCCCCCACTTTCTTTGTTGAAATCAAAGGATAAATAGTAACATGGAGAGGTATAAGAAATGTATGTGATAGCCTGGATTAGCTGCAGTACTTAGGGGAGTTGTGGAGTTGAGTTTATCGAGAGTGTCTGTACTTTCTTTTATTTTCTCTCTCTAAAATTCTCTCGACCATCTCCGCTTAGGTCGACCTCTCTAGCCGACCAACATCCAACCTTTTGCGGATTCTCTCTAATAATATTTCTGTCATGTGAAACCGAGCTAGGCGATTTTAACAAGAAAGTCAAGTATGAGTAGATTTGGAAGAAGGTTTCTTGCTATAGAGAACAAATCCTTTGACTTGGTATGTGAACGGAGAAGAGCGGATAACTGAGAACGGACAAGGGTTTCAACTATCGATTTGTTTAGATAAAGAGGAGTATGAATGGTTTCTTGATGCTCTTAATGAGTTCTTATGGAGAAGGAAGCCGAGAATATGGGCAAAACATCTAGTGTAGAGAAACTATGAGATATGGTTCTCGTTCGGGAAGAATAGAAGAGGAGAATAGTTAACAATGCATTGGGGTAGTCAGACGAAGGGGATATTCTTTCCTAGTGGGTTTCAGGGGAATGGTTGGTAGCAATCGCTGGTGGCTAGTTTTGAGCTTGCAAATAGGCCAGTGAAAAACCCTAAATCTGCGGAAGGGAGTAGTAAGGTTAACTTGAATCGACACTTGGAGAAAGTGAATCAACAGAAGAAACTATGGATGATTTCTTTTCCATGTCCGCACTGTAATGGTCCGATTAATGCTTCAATAGTGGGAGGAAATCCTTGATCATATGAGGCGGCGCTGGAAGGCCCTGAAAGGAACGTGAAGCGGGTACGGTTGAGGCAAACCAGAGGCAAAACGAATCGGGCTGGTCCGATAAACCTGAACCATTCGGGTACTCGATTTCCGAATGAGGCAAAAACGCAAATAATACCTGTCGTTTTGGTCTAGAAAGGGTTTTATCTATGAGAGATACGGGCCAGACCCAAAACAAAAGAAATGGGCTGGGTAAGCCGAATTGGTATAATTGGAAAGAAAAAGAGAAATGGGTTGCCAACCCAGAAATAGAAGAGGGCCCTCCAAACTCTGGGTCGGGTTTTGGCTCAAACCCAACCCGGGGCGAATGCTCGGGTACAAAAGTAGTGGTCTTGCATGATGCTGAAGTAATTGGAAAAAGAGAGGAAGAAAGAAAAGGGGAGGAGGGGAAATTAGGGTTTACGATTTCGAAAATGGAAAAGCCAGAGACGGAGGGTGAAGATGTAGAAGAGTCAAAGAGACAAAGCGAAGAGGAGGATGAGGAGCTGTGCTCAGTTTACTTTACGATGGAAGACTTTGATAATGTAAGTAAAAGGCAGATAGAAGCTGAGAGCGAAAATGAAAGAATGTCAAATCTAGCGATGGTTATGGTAGAAGAGGATGCTCAGGCGATAACCACCGATTATAATCCTAAAATTGTAAGAAATCATTCAGTTGAGTTTGGAGGGTGTAAAAATCACAACGAGAGAAGTAGAATACTGCTCACAGTGGGTCACTAATAATGTTTAGAAATTCAGCAAACAGATGGGAGTTTCGCTGGAAGGTACGGAACATCTAACTTTCCTTTTCTTTTCTTTTCTAAAATAGAAAAAAGAAAAATTTCAAAGAAGTCAGGCGTGGCTAATCGGGAAAAGAAGAAACAGACTAGTGGAACACCGAGGGAGCTAAAAAGACTTGAGTCTTCGATTAATTATGAGAGTAGAAGCAAGGGAAGTAAAGGAGTGGGTGGGGTTAAGATACTCCGTCAATGATAGGGAAAATCATTTCATGGAATGTCCGGGGCGTAAATGGTAGGGGTAAAAGATTAATAATCCGTGAATGCCTTAGCAAGTGGAAACCAACGGTAGTGTGTTTGCAAGAATCGATAATGGAGGAATGTGATATTGGGGTAATTAACAGTTTGTGGAGCTTGAAGGACAAGGGATGGCCCTACATCCCAACAAAAGGTGCTGCGGGGGGTATGATTTTGATGCGGATAGATGATCAGGTGCAGTGTGTGGATGTCACTAAGGGAGAATGCACAATATCCTGTATCTTTAGAAATTGTAAGGGGGAATTTAGTTGGATGTTCACTGGAGTCTACTGCAAAGAAAACAGAGAGGAAAAAGTCAGTCTTCAGAATGAATTGTTGGAATGTAGATCTAATTAGGGAAGCAATTGGATAATTGGAGGGGATTTCAACATGATATTGAGGAGAGAAGAGAGAAGTGGCAGCTCATTCTCAACTAAGGAAGCAAATGATTTAAGGAGATAATGGATAGGATTGGTGTTGTTAATCTTCCATTATCAATGAGCAGTGGACTAGATTCAACCAAAAGAGCAAATCCAGAATTGATAGGTTTCTCATTTCTGCAAATATGATGGTTGAACTCGTGGGTGTTAGTCACAAAACATTGCCTTGACCTATATCAAACCACTACCCTATTTGCATTGAAGCTGATGGAATTAAGTGGGGTCCTATCCTATTCCCCCTGGACAAAAAATGGTTTGGGAAGGAAAATTCTAGGGCGTTGGTGGAAAAAACTTGGCAGAATACTACGATGGAAGGTTATGCTAATTACAGATTCGCTCATAAATTAAAAGTATTGAAAATGAAATCAAGGCTTGGTCCAAAGAGGTCATGGGCGAGGAGAAAACAGAACTTGGAACTATTTTGAATAATATTAGTGACTTGGATATGAGAGGAGATTTGGTGGGGTTAAATGATGAGGAGAGAGGGAGGAAAGACAATTTGAAGCTTAAGCTGGCCGCTTTTTTGAAGGATGAGGAAATTGTATGGAGGCAGTGTTCCAAATAAAAATGGTTGGCGGAAGGGGATAGAAATACTAAGTATTTCCATGGACTTGCCTCCCATCGATGCAAAATTAATTATATTGAAGAGGTGAGGTTTGAAGAAAAAAAGTTAAGGGTAATACAGAATTAAGGGAGACTGCCAGATGCCATTTTTCTAAGCTGTACACGGAAAACTTTGTTGTCTGCCCCAAATTAGATGGTTTCCCCTTTAATAAAATTTTTGAAATGAGTAGACAGTGGTTAGAAGCAGATTTTTCAGAGGAGGAGGTGTTTGATGGACTGAAATCTTGTAATGGGAATAAGGCTCTTGGACCCGACGGATTCAATATGAAGTTCCTTCAATTTTTCTAGTATTTGCTAAAAAATAATATAATGTGTATATTTAAGGAATTGCACTCTTCGGGCAGGTTTATGAAGTCTTTAAACACTACTTTCATTCTTATTACAAAAAAGAATGGGGTTAAGGAAATCACAAACTATAGACCAATAAGTCTGGTGGAATGCATATACAAATTAATTGCAAAGGTGCTGGTTAGAAGATTATCAAAGGTGCTGGGTGAGATTATTGGGGAATGCTAACATGCATTTGTGGAAGGAAGACAGATTTTAGATGCTGTGATGGCGGCAAATGAAACTGTTGATGACCTTTTAACCAACAAGAGAGAAGATTTAGCGTGCAAATTGGATATGGAAAAAGCATACAATCATGTAAACTGGACTTTTGTGGACTACATGCTCAATAAAATGGGTTTCTGGTCAAAATGGAGAAAGTGGATGAAATCATGTATTACAACAGCTTTCTTTGCAGTTTTAATCAATGGTGACCCTTCGAAAATTTTTACTGCCTCAAGAGGATTGAGACAAGAGGATCCTCTTTCTCCCATCATTTTCATAATTGTGATGGAATCTTTTAATGGGCTACTGGTTAAAGCAAATGAACACTTGTTGTTGAGGGGTGTCTCGATTGATAGGGGTGATAACAGCATGGTGGTGACTCATTTGTTTTTTGCTGATCATACTTTAATTTTTTGTAAACCTGATCTGAGAAATCTCCTACACTTGAGGTGCATCTTTCTATGTTTTCAAGCAGTTTCAGGACTCAAAATAAACCTCAACAAATCTGAATTAGCCAGAATTGGAGGCAGAAGTGATGCTGGTCCTTTTACTAGAATTTTGGGCTGCAAAGAAGTAAAATTTCTTTTTAAATATCTTGGAGTTCCGTTTGGGACAAAATATAAGGACCTTACTACTTGGGAACTGATCATTAATAAGTTTGAAAATAGTCTTATGGTTGGAAAAAAGGTTTTTTTTTCAAGAGGTGGTAGATAGACTCTCATCAAGGGCTCGTTGACCCATTTACCAATCTATTAGTTATCTACAAGAACTATAGCGGTGAATGTGGCAAAAAGGTTGGAAAGTATTCGATGCAAGTTTTTGTGGGATGATGGTTTGGAGGAACGCAAATACCATTTAATCAATTGGGGATGATATCAAATTACCACTTGATTTTGAGGGCTTGGGGGGTGCGTTCTATGGTTAAATTGAATTAGGCTCTTCAAGGAAAATGGCTATGGAGATGTTGGTGGGAAGAAAATCGACTATGGAAAAGGATTATTGAATCTAGATGGGGTGAGTACTTGCACAGCAATAGTGGTGGCCGAATTAAAATTCATCACAGGTGTGGTCTGTGGAGGAAAATATTAATGATGAGGAAACCCTTCCAGCAGTGTATAAAAAGGAAAATTGGTAGAGGCAACATAATTAATTTTTGGGAGTTGATAATGGGTGTCTTAGGAGCAGATTCCTGGGAATTTATAATATTGTCCAGTCTATTAAGATGACAGTTGAGGAGGCTTATAGAGTCATAAATGGAAATATTGTCTGGTGTATTAATGTAAAGCGGAGTTTAAATAATTGGGAGATTGAAGAATTTGAAGACCTACTGAAGTGTCTTGATGCACAGCAAATTTCTAACAGGGCTGATCAGGTTGTTTGGAATTTGGAAAAGGATGGAAAATTTTCTTTTTCTTCTTATTACACATATTGAAATGACAAGGGAGTTGAGAACAGATTGGAATTTCGAGCAAAGCTTGTGTAGAAGACAAAAATTCCACCCAGAATTGCTTCTTTTGCATGGGAGGCGTGCTGGGAAAGAATTCTAACTCTAGACAGATTGAAAACATGGACAGGATCATTGTTAATGGTTGCTATTGCTGTCTAAAGCGAGAGAAGTGTAACCACCTACTTTTATGGTGTCTACTACTATAATTATGGTGTAAAATTTAT